TGAAATTTGAAGGATAACCGTGAAGCAATTCTAGATCGCAAAGCAATTATTTGCTATGAAATCAACTTTATGCATAAATAATCCCATTTATACTTGCCAGTTAAGCATAAGACTTAGTCAGACAACTCTGGAAATGAAATCGACCTTACCTATGGCAGAAAGGGAACATGAACAGCAAAAAAAAATTGGACTTTGAAAATAGCCTAGTGAACGCAACTTTCAAGCGGAATCGAAAAGGAGGCACGATAAGATCAGGTGACCACTTTCTAGGCGGAATTAGAAGTCACGGGTATAAAACGTACTGGTATTGATGGATAGGTCATTCATGTACTTGACCGTCCCAGTGGACTTGTTGGTGGTGCAGATTTCCAGCGCGTTCCAAATCACCTCTATGTGTTGTTGCTGTTCGCGTACAGATATGCCCGCCTTGCGCAGCATTGCGGCCCAGCCAGCCGGCATGCCCTGGGAAGATTACAAACAATCAGAATAGAAACCTTAACTTTGACCGTACCAAATCTCCCAGTTGAGTGACAATAGGAATGAGATTGATGGAGACAACATGAGCTTTTGATAAATTTTTATGAAGCAGGTTAGAAATACAACCATGTGCCAAACTTGGCTTTACCTAAAATTTAAGTTTTCATGACTCAATTCCGGCCTGTCGTGGAGGAGAAAGTGAAGCAAACGGTCAAATCTGCGATCCCATAAACAGTTCCAGATTCACCCATTTCTCACTAACAACGCCTCCCGGAAAAAAAAAACAAATTATAAATGACAGCTTGGGCTTTTAACAGCAGCCTGTAAATTAAACATCCAGTACTTTAAATTTCTAAAAGTTATCTATTTATTATGGAGTAGACCCTAAAGCATCGAAAAAAGGAAATTACAATTGGACATTTTCGCACAACTATCACCCTCCCCACCAGTATTTTACAAAGCAGAACAAAAATGATAAGAATGATGGCAAGAATTAAATAACTCCAGGAGGCAAAGAAGTAAGCATTACAATTCAATGTCCTTTTCTAACGACTGTCAAGATTGTTGCGATGCTCAGTTGTGTGGAAAATTACACTCCTACAAAAACTCTATTCTCCTTAATTTCATATCTCATCTCCACGTCCAAATGCCAACATTACATATGATCGTCAAATGTTACGATAGTTGTGTGGCTTCAGTGAATAGCATCATGGGGATAGGAAGGACGGGTAACGACAGGAGAGGCTAGCCTACCCATTGCCCTCTCCTATTCTCAAGGGGAAGCTTGTTAATGCAATACTTTATGCTGTTTTGTAAGGGCTTACCTTCCTCGACCACTCCTAAAGCAGCTTTCCTGAAAAAACTTAAAGATCTTTTAAGATCGCAACAATTGCTACTTGGAGTCCAGCAGGAAACTTGCCACAGGACTTTTTACAGTTCATGCAAAAATACAGCTTTTTATGCCAAAGCAAGGCACACTTGACGCGTATGGTTAGGAAGAGGTAAAAGGTTTGAGTGCCACAAGTGATGTATTGCTCGTTTGTCTGACACACTATGGAATACAAAAGCAATTTCTCATCACAAGCCAATCTGACTAGCAGTAAGTCGACCTGCAGTTTCGTAGTGTATGCGTGTTAGTGATTGTGGATAAAATACCAATTACATTTACGGCACCACTTCCGTTACCAAAGCCGTTCCTCCAATAACTCCCCGTCCTTAAGCGTCACCCCAAATCACCTTCAATGTCTTCAAGACTACCCTCTCCCCCTATCATACAGTAACAGTGATAAAAATTGGGGGTCCAATGCTCTCCCATACGTTGCGCACCTCCCTTCAACTCAACCTCCATCTGCATCCCTTCACGCGTTTACTTTCCCTCCCTTCATTTGGTCATACCTTCACCTCTTCTATTCATGTGCACTAACTATTTGTTGGTGAAACAAACAAAATACAATCGGCGACGTCAGGCTCCCATCCCTACGGTACATGTAAGCTCTCAGGAAAGCTAGAAAGGAGAAATGAACAGTAGGGCGCATAGCAAAGGGTTTTGCAGGAAATGAACCTCTTTACAATGCATGATTGTAAAATATGCATCGATTTACTGCAGAAGGACCAGACGAGGACTCCACTAATTTCTCCGATCAATTTATACCAGTGGCCGAACATACGACCATGAGATTACTTTAAATCTAGAGCTCATGCCAGTACCTTTTCGACAAGCTTAAAGTATTCAGAAGGTCTATCGGTTTGCAATTCCAAGAGGACAGAAGTAAATGTGCTAGTTGTTCAGTAGCCTCGCCTTCCAATGAGATCTAGATGAGTAGATTGAAAATAACTGCTCACAAGTCGGAGAGAAGAAAATTGCCAGTTTTCTACTAATTATATGCAACTTATGACGGTTTCGAGCTTCGAGCATCTGCAGCTTGTGTTTAGGTAATGAAACTTCGATTCTGAGCGCAATTTCTCCAGTAACCCTTTAGTTTTCGGTTTCCAATTAACTTCCCAATGGATAGCCGAAATTCGAAATCACGAATAAATTTGGACCTTATCAGGTTTTGTAGTCAAATGCCCTGGGTTACTCTTTTGGCAGAATATATAGAAGAAAAAGTGGGACTTCGTGCGATCAACGAGGGTACTTGTGAATGGAAGTAACTAACAAGGCAATGCACCCATCAACCCAAAATGTGGTATAAAATCGTTCTTCACGTTAAGGTCACCTTTCATGGAGGTTCAATAGATTCGTGATTGCATTAACGTGTTAGCTCGAACGCCGGCTCCATGTAGTCGCATCCACACACACAGAAAAAGGAATGAAGTTTGCGATTCAAAAGCCAAATTTAGGCTCATGAAGCCGCTACCAAAATTATAAATGAAGCTACCTGATTCTTCCAACTTGTAGGTTAAAACATCCCAGTCTCATCATTTAAAACTACCCTGCAAGAGATTGAGACTGAAGGATTTAAAAACCCAAAAATCTGACCAACGTCGTAAAAAGAACTTCGACAACGTGGATAAGGGATGAATGAGAGATTCATATCCTACATGAGTAAATGAATAAACTCCAATGTTTCACGAAAGGCAATGAAAAACACCAATCGAAGAACTATCCAACCAGTAATTAAACGACACGAGACCGCCACCTAGGCCACTGTCGATTCGGACAATCGGAAATCTAGG